GAGACAGAGAGAGAGACAGAGAGAGAGAGAGAGAGAGAGAGAGAGAGAGAGAGAGAGAGAGAGAGAGAGAGAGAGAGAGAGAGAGAGGGAGAGAGAGATGACACATAAGAGAGCGCGCGATTATACGCGCAATTTATAGATGTATGTATACGTATATACATACATATACATATATAACTTGTGCAACTACGTCTGCCTATACTCTATTTTACGTATTTATTTTTGTTGAACACATTGTAGTACGAATACAGCCGCGAGTGATCTTTCGCTTGCTCGCATGTGGCTGTTCGCACGCAATCGAACGATCTATTCATACGGGCGCGCTTCATTCGGAGAAGCGAAAAAACGTGGGATCCGAAACAATTAAAATTGTGAATCGGCGATTTCGTATCTAATTCTTTCCGATAGAGGAATCCAAGACAGTCGAGCGAAAATAGAAACGCTAAGCTACACAAGATATTATTCTCGTCATATTCGCAAAAAAAAAAAAAACAAAATGTAGAAGCAAATGGAGAAAATTTTGTTAATAATAAAAAAAATGTTTAGATTTAAATAAATATGCTATTATTATCCACCGAACAAATATTTTTTTATTTTTTAGATACTTTTTCTCACTATGTAGTAATATCTTAGAAACTGAAATGTGTATATATGGAAATTTATTGTTTTTAGCGAAATTTACTATGTTCTTTAGCAAGACTTTACTGACAGTCTGTTTTTGCACTATTAGAAATAAAATTGAAAAGAATTTATACGAAAAAAATATATTTTCCTCACGTATGGCTTATTATAAGTGCAATAAAAAGATCGCAAATTGCACCGAGTAAGCGCGAATCCGACTCCCAGCGTGGTGGTTTTTAGCAAAAGTAGAAGTGACTCTACCTGCAGGCTCGAATACGTGGAGGCTCCGCCGCTTTCTAGACTCCTGCCCGTCGTGCGACAGCTGCACTTGTTTCAGGTACTTTCTGTGCGCTCTCTCGTACTCGACCTGGCTCACGTTCGCCTAGAAACAAAACGCATAATAGTTTCCTTAAAGCCTCATCATCAAGTCGGCCTAACGCTTACGTAACGTTGCGTGTATAATGGCGCAGGACAATTACAACGCACATACGCGGCGAATAAAGAGTAACTACCGGAAGCACATTCTCGCTTCTTGGAACTTTTAGATGTAGATATTTTGCGAAGCGCACTTGTTCAAATCTTTTCTTGAGAAACGTCGTTGTAGCCGTTAATAAAAATAACGAGAATTTTGATAACAGAGATATGATATTAAGCATAATTGTGTTCAATTCTTTTCTTTTCTCGAAGAGATGGTAATTCTCTTCGACAACAAATTCAAACAAGACTCAAGAGCCTAACTCAACTTTCAGAGCTCAAGAGTTACACAATAAGAATGCCGTTTTGCACTTCGCGCCTCCTTATTATGAGTTTTACCGCCGCGAAGATGCCGCCCGAAATCTCAACTTTCCCTCGAGAGCGCGAAACGCTTCCCGAGGTCGGTCTCGCCAGCTGAACTTTCGGCCCGCTTAATTGATTCTCAGCTACGTCCGGCGAGATTGAACGCGATAATTGCTTCGCGGACGTGACATCGAAATTATCTAATTTTCTGAGGTCACGACGTCAGCGCTGAGCTTCTTAGCCCAGTTAAATAACTGGCCTTTTCTTGGCATCACTTCTCTCGCCTATCTTCTTTAAAATTTTATTCTCCTTCACTTCTGTCTTCTCCTTCTCTTTTCCTTCCTTCCTTCCTTCCTTCTTTCTTTGCCTTGTTACTCGCATCCTGTATTTTTTGACTCCTTCCCGTTTCCGCGACCGGCTTACCTCAAGTCCACTCTGAGAGTAGTCTAGGCTACTGTTTCACGGCTGTGCAACAACCCAGCGAGCGCCCTTTTCCTTTCCCCGCTTCCACGATGAGAAAGACCAGACGAGTCGTCGGCGCTCGTAAAATTAGCTCGTTGAGGCCGCGACCACTGAACATTCAAGCAGACGACGGATAATAGACCGCAAGAGGGTGTGAGAACTCTCGCGAGCCTCTCGTCCGCCGAGTTTCCGAGTCGGATTCTACAGTGGGAACTTTCTGCCTTTCTACCTCTCGGAGCGCGACTCTTATGAACTACAGTTCATCATTCTACTGTGAGCCGTTTATATTGTACAGATTCCAATACGGCCCGATAAATTCGCGCTTGTGCGTAAATCTCTCGACTAATCTCGGGACCTTTACTTTCGAAAGACTTTCTAATCTTCGATCTAGTGATTGAAGAATCGGATTTTCAATTCGAAAATTAATATATCAATTGATGTATGGCTATAAATTTGATTGAGACAGAAATTTCGAGAAAAGAGTTTTGACAAAAATAACAGACTGGAACAAAATGATTAGATGCGATTACGATTTCTGTACAATCTGTATGCAACCACATACAGTCGGGACTAACTTTGCAATAAAATCAGGATTGGCAGCGTAGAAAAAAATCTACGAGTTTATTCAATTTAACGTGGAATTTCCGGGAAAGACAATTGACAGAAGTGACAGTTTGGAGCAATTTGCATATACATGAGGCGTGTCCAGAAAGATACAAAAGCCTTAAAAATGTAAGAAATATTTATTTAAAAAATGTGCATATACATATATCTATATTTTTTCATATAGAGTCTCCGTCAATATCTAAATATTTATGAAGTTTGGGAATCAGCTTCTGTATGTTTGAGTCACAGAAGTCTCTCATCAGTTCTTTGAAACACGTCGTGACTTCTTTTTTCACGAACTTTTTCCCGACTAGATGTGTCTTTAAGTGAAGAAACAAGTGAAAATCGTTGAGCGCGAACTATGTGGCAGATGATCCAAAACATCCCACTCGAAACTTCCCGACACTGCAATGGTGACACACGGTACAGGACCGTGCAATGTTGCGGAGCAGACAGATGCATCATAAGCAGCAGTAATTCACAGCAGCCTGTGAATTTCCGCCAGGCAGTTACCTCTTGCGTTCAAAAAACGTGTTCCACGGAACGAATCTCGCGTTTGGCGGGATTTTGGATCGGCGTCGCCATGCTAAACACTCGTCAGTCGCTACCGCAGTTCGAGCAAAGCCTGTTCTCGTACTGCCAAAGAGAAGCGAAATTGTCAAGGTCAAAGCCAGTTTAGCCGCCATCGGCATAAAGCTTTCCCTATCAGGCTAGATGTGATGCATCGTCAGTTTGCGGACGCGCCTCGTAACTCGACGCAGCTGGGACGAACTTTGCAACGGAGTCAGGGCCGGGAGCGCAGAAGAAACCTACGAGCTTATCCATTGTAACGTGGTATTTCCGGAACGAGATGCATCGGTCGCTGCACCAAGTGCAGAAATTGCGTCGGTGCAGCGACGGCGGCAGCCGGCAGCCGGAAGTGGCGCCGTCGAAACCAGCAGGGGACGACGACGCGCTCGATGAATCATCATCCGCGGAGAGACGCGGCGCGACGCGACGGCGACGCCTCCGCAGTCCCTTTAAAGTCACTTAACTCCTCTCGTCTTGAGAATCACTTAACTGCCACGGGCTGATTCCGGCCGCGCTTGGCGCGAAAACAAATTTGTGCGGATCGCTCGCGATACGGAGAACGCGGGCGAGAATTACGTCGCAGAGAGCGCGTCCTCCGGAGTGAGTCACAGAAGTCCGGGAAACGGCCTCCTCTCTCAACGACCCCAATTTTTTCAATTAAATCGCCGAAGTAATCTTTGCGAAGCGATTGGCACATCCTGTTCGATGAACGTTGGCCGCGAATCGACGCGGGTCGGAACGGGCAAAGCGAACACGAGAGAGAGAGAGAGAGAGAGAGAAACAGAGGGAACGAGAGTCAGAGAGGGAGAGAAAGGAGGGGGAGAAAGAAAAGTTATCGCACTCGGCTATGAATCCAACATTGCATACTAATGTTGAGGTCCCGCCGACTCGCGGGCGGAACTCGTCTTGAGTTATTCATTACGGAACCCATCGAAAGATGATATATGTGTGATATACAATGTACACGTGCCACTCGTCGTATTAATGGAGGTCCCTCCTCCTCCTCAGCGACACGTGACTCGCCCAGCCTGGACGCGCGAGTTACGACGACGTCGTAGCGTCGTCGCACAAATTGTACGCCGATATCAACACCCACGCGACGATTAGAAAAATCGCCACGCAAGTGACATATCGTCTCCTCTCCGCGCCAAGCGCCAAGGCGAAATCCACGCGGTACGAAGTCGAACGGCATCGCGTATCACGCGCGAACGGCTCTCGGCTGTTGCACAACCGTCTCTCTCGTATCTTTTCATAAATAACAATAATAAATGAGGCAATCGGCCGCCGGTTTGGGGAGCGTGTTTTTTTTTTCCGAAATTTCTTGACCATACTCTCCAGGCGCACCAAGTTCCCTCTAAAAAGAACGCTCCCCAGCGAAAGCGCTCTCGAAAGCTTCTACAGAAAATGACGACGTGGCTCGTGGCGATTTTTCAAGATTCAACAGCCACGAAATATCTCGCTTTATTTCAAAATAAAAGCTCAAGTACGACAATAGTTCATTTTCGAGTAAATTTTGAAATACGAGGAAAATCTCTCTCTCTCCATCTTTTTCTTTGGTCGGAAAAAATATCACCTGTATGATTCTGTAACAGATGATACCAGATGTGATATACCTTTTTCTTGTTGTCCTTTCCATATTTCGCTTTGCCGAATCTTCGTGGTCAAAGTTTCGGGACGACACGAATGGTCGTTCCGAAACTTGAATGGACGAGTGACATCTCGAGGATACTCCAACGGTCTTTCGATATCTTTATTCGTTTGCAAGTGAGATTATCCGGAATACCTGAGGTTTCTCACCGAGTCTATCCTCGCATCTTCCATCAAAAAAAAAAAGAAGATTGAGAGACAGCTTGCATGCAAACACAAGCGCGAAGTCCCTCCTCGGTGCGTCTTGTTGTCTCCTGTCACGTGGCAGATGTCACGATGCAATTGCATAAATATGAGAAATGGCTAACGTTGCACAACATCGGTGGACCGCGGGCAAAAATGTTATCGCGTACATATTAGTGTAAACATGCAGATATTTGCTACATATTAATACACTTATCCGGCACGCGCCGATAAGTGCTCAAAAGTTTATGCATCCGCGTGCAGACGAACCTTGAAGTCAAACTTCTTTTCATAGGACGAGAGATTTTGCCTCCGCTCAAGTACGATAATAGCTCATTTTCAAGTAAATTTTGAAATACGAGGAAAATCTCTCTCTCTTTAGTCGAAAAACATATGTAGAAAATACGTTGCAAAATAACTCGAAAAACATGGAGTCACGTGGAGGCGCAGCTCGGTGATATTCCACGAATATTCGCGTATAGCCTTATCAAGTGAACGATCAATCGGTCCCGCGTTGATCCCTCTTAAAGTCACGCAGGGCTCACCCCGGACATTCGAGGATCCTCAAACATGTATTCGCCGGATGTCCTTGGCTCGCGCGCTACGCTGCACGCATTCGTGCAATATCGAGGGCACGCGTTTTGGAGGAGACGGCGAGATGCGATCTCGCCGTGCGATTTATTTGTTTTGCACGAGCGTCTGCGAAGCACACGAATCTCTGGCACGCCGTGCGCGGGCAGGACGAGGTGCAGGAGCGCGCGCGAGCCGCTCGGACAGGTCTCAATTTTGTGCAACAAGTATCCCGGATGTCTTCAATTGGCCCTCCTGATTGCGCGCGGCCAATGACAGATATCCGGATCCACGTCGGTAATGACGTTTCAGAGGCGCGCCGAACGTCTCGGCGTAGTGGGATATAATCGTAATGAGTCGCGGCGCAGCGGCACCTCACGATAGAAAACCATTAGGTTACTTATACTGTTAATGAGGACGATCGTAAAGAGCCGGCCGCGCCGGAACGCTTCAGTCTGTAGGAAGGAGTGTTGCCGCCGCCGCCGGAGGACTTCTGAAGCGTTGTTCAGATAATCGCGTCTAATTTATCCGGTGATTACGATCGCGATCGCGCGTAATTTTGCCGTA